GAGTACATAAGTGAGACTACGGCCAGTCATCGCGTGAGAAAGCAATGCTGGCCTGCCAGCGGCCATGACGGCGAGAGCGAAGGGGAAGTGACTGAGTTTTGCACTGTCCCGGCATGCAAAAGCTAGGGAAGGAATTGTGTGCACAGCGCAGCGTACATGAGTTTCATGGCTGTGTATATATAGATCTCCGCTGCAGGCTCTGCAGTCAAACCCGAGCGCCCACCCCTCCACACCGCCATATAGTTGAACCGGATGTTTGTAAAATGAGAGACCTCAAAAGCTCCTGGCTTTCCCCCGCAGGAGATGAAGTCGTACTGGATCACTGGCTTCACGAATGCGCAAGGGTTCTTGACGGGAATTCGCCAGGAGGCTGTTCAAAATGCTTGACTCACAGCTGGCAACGAAGCGCAGGCGTAGTGAGTCATCATTCCACGTGATTGGACACGAGTTGTTCAATGTTGTAGAAGACCGTTGGACTCGTCGGCCCAGTCAGTGTGGCCGAGGGTCTTGGATTCATTTGGCAGGTGACTCGTCAACACAAGAGGGACCAGTGGGCACTGGATGAGGTAGTGACACACACGGAGGCCCGTCACATGTGTGGTGGTTTTGCGTGCATGACCATGTGTATGCAAGTCAGTGTGGCCTTAGCTGTTGGTCGAGCGATCATTACAATGTTCGTTTTGACATTTTCGACATCGATTGGATTGGCATACCAAGCAAAACGGATTCGGGATCATGGTCTTTGGCGATGTTCGCATGGTCAGCGGCAGGTTTTGCAGCTTCTCTTCTTTGAAGACAATGTCTGCCATGCTGGCAGATGTCAAGTGTAATGTGTTGCTGCCCCAACACAACCTCGGAAACAGCAACTGTTGAACTCAAACCGTCGGGTTTCCCGCGTTCGACCTGGTCAGCTAACCGGGTGGGAAAAACCGGCGGCTGATTTTTCAATACAGCTTTGAACAAGTGTCACCGGTATTTCTGGAGTGATCGGTACTCCACGATCTCCGAGCTTGGTTCAAGCGGAAACTGGTGTCCACATCCGACAAACCTTGGCTGTACAACTGAGGTCTGTCCATGTAGATTAATCCATGTGCAGACGGAGCATGGTGCTCACGTACTGTCGAACTTCCGAGCAGTCCGTGCCTGTTTTGCAGAAGTGCATGTTTCACTACATTGTCATGACCAGAAATCATCACGTGACATTTCTGAAGGTGCTCACACTCGACACCCCTGACCGCGTGAGGGAGCTCCCGGAAGAAGGCTGCGTCTCAACGATCAGGATGGTCTCAGCTCAACTTGCCCAGCTCTTTGCTTCAGGACAGAACATACATGGGCTCTTCATCGAGGGCGGGAAGCAAGCATCTCAGCCCATCGTTTCAGGGGTCGAGCAGCCTCGACTGTCGCTCCTGCGAATTGGAGGTGGAACCGTCTCGAGGGAAAGTTAGAGGACACTGAGCGTCACTTCCCGGAGCAATGAGCGCAGCCTGGCACAGCACATTTGTGGTTGTGAAGGAAAGCGAGGCCAAGAAGCTGGGGTCCAAGAGGAATCCGCTTGCGGAAGCCTTCGCATGACTTCGGGCCTATAGCAATAGAGCACTGAGGCTTCAGATGAACATGCCGGTCATCTATGTCGTGACCTGATCAGTCTGGTAGGACGATCCTTCCGCCTTCACTGTCTCAGGTCACGGCAGTTGAGGTCAAGACGCTCAAAGCCATCAATACGTTTCCAACCCAGTGTCCAGCAGACGTTGTAGCAAACAGAGGATTTGGCCGATTACTTGCGGACTGCAGAGGGTAGCAGCACTATAGTAACTATAGCTGACATCGTTTGCGGAAGTGGCACTGTTTCAGGTCTTCTGGGCCTTTTCCTGCCTTCAATGTGGCTTACTCAGGGCCTGAAAAGGGCATCATCGAGTGTGCGCACAGCACAGCACAGCACTGCTCCAAGGCTGCTGTCTACAAGTATCCAAGAAGGAATGACAGGCGCTTGCAAAGAGCTTTGCCTTCAGATGTGAAAAGCTTCGCCCACGAGCTTTGGGCTCGCAGGTATCTGATCTTCAGGCTTTTGCTCAGATCCGGTGAGCTCTCGCCTCAGGCCTCTGGTTTGGCCGCTCGGTCTCAGCGCCAGTGCAGAGAACAACATGCGCAGCAACTGCCCATGGCATGAGGCACCATCCGCATCACTGGAGGCTACGTGGAGTTTGTCTTGTTGCCCAGGCCCCGTGACTTGGATTCTACAAGCCAGCCATGCAGCAGCCAGCCTGCCCAAGATGTCTCTCTGCTGCTATGCATGCTATTCGGGATGTATGCATAGCCACAGATCAGCACTGACTTGTGCACAGCACACTGCTCGAAGCAACCTCTGTGCAGACCGACTAGCTGATGGCACCGTGATCCTGTAGGCTTAGGGCTTAGGATGAAATTCAAGAGTCGACGGCTGACCCACATGTACAGATGCTGCTGGAGCTCGAAGAAGATGCGGTTGGTTAAGTTGGAAATGTTGGAAGACTGTTTTTGCAAGTATCGATTGTTCGATGCTTCATTAGCTCTGGGTCACCAATCTCTGCATGTGCAGCAAACGGATGAAGACATCCAGCTCAAGAGTCGTCAGCACTGTCTAGGGCCATGTTGAGCTTGCTTGACTGTTTTCGTTGCCGTCCAGAGCACGGAAGACACGGCAGCATCCACCATGGAACTTATCATTGACATTGATGTCATGGTGACAGCTCAGCACGCTTGACAGCACTCCAGACAGACGAAAAGCATCAACTTGTTCTGCATTGTGCCCACGTTGCATCTTCTTTCTGCACAGGCTCTTCTAGCCCCAAGCATGGTCCGCACAGAAGTATCTACGTGCACGTTTTTCGGCCTGGCGCACTAGGGCAGCTGGCTGCAGGTTTTGTTTGCCCGTGGTGCTTCCACTGGGCGCAGTCGCATCGCTCGCGCAATGGGAGCAAATTGCAGAGACACACTGGACCTTGAGCCCTTGGCTTGGAGACTGCAGCAGGGCGGGCTTTGCACGTGGCCTCTTCAGAGAAGCTTGGCCTGCTCGGCTGTTCGCCTCCCAGAGGCAGGTCATGGACGAGATCTTGCTTATGTGGCGCAGCAAACAGCGGGCTTTGGAAAACTGGAACGCCAGCGAGCCGAAGCAGAGCCCGGATTGCCACTCTGCGAGCAACGTGAGCGGGTTCCCTGCGGCTAACTTCCGCCATGGCCACCACGTTGCGTTTGGACACGTGCCCCCAAGTCGACCGGCGGAAGCTCTTCCACGTTTTCTGTCTGATTACGGAGGTAAGCTTTGAGGAGGAGTTCATCGACGAGGACAGCATCCAAAGGAGTGCAGTGTTAGCTTTGTTGAACATGTGTTGCGGGCATATCTGCTCCCGCCTAGCTCAATCAATCGGTATGTGTTGGCTTCCAACACCACTTCTGCGCACACTATGCTCTTCAAGTTGCGTCTCAGGACAGAGGAGTGCAGCTAAAAAAGTCAGACGCTCAGTGCCATCGCGTAGATTCCAAGGACATCATTGGAATTTGGTGGCCGTGGTGGGTATAGTACGAGTACGGATTGCACAGCGATCCCATGGAATGGCAAAGGCACCAAATGCCAAGCTAAAGCCGTTGCCGCCGCTGCGCTTTACCAGACTGGCAATGCACTTTGCGTGATGTGATGTTGCATTGACTGACATCTTGACACCTGTAGGTCTGCGTCTCACTAGCCGAATTCCACTGCAGTGACAGGTCAAGGCTACACATGGCTGCTGTACCCACGGCGGTGACCCTTCGAACACATATTCAAAACCTCACCCGTCAAAGCGGGCTGCTTCTGTGAGCGGTGTTATCCGATGGAGGCACGAGATGCGCCGCAGACATGAAGCAGTGGACAATAGACTCGCAAATTAAATTAGCATCAGGCCCCTCTGTCCAAGACACGTGCCATCCCCCGTGACATCCCGTGTTTGTCGACCCACATGGTGCGCAAATGTGCTTGGGCTAAGATCGTGCCTATCCCCGGAGCCCCAACCCCTTAAAAGGGGAACCATTCAGCTACACTACATGCTCGGGAGTTTACCCTTCCGCCAATGGAAACGGACTGTGTGGTTACAAGACTGATACAAACCTAGGCGTTGGTTACAAGCCTAGGCGTTTGCTTGCCGCTGAGAACGAGGCTGTCAAGGCGCGCTGAGTGGTCAGCCGCCACTACTTGGTTCAGGAAAGACCATGAGTGGAGCTGGAAGGCATTGATTGGCTCCAGCGTGTGCAGGCCATGGTGGCTTCTTCTCGGCTGTCCCCTCCGCAGGCACCTATCTTGTGATAGCTGCTGGCTTCGAAATCTCACCAATCAGCGAACACAATCCAAACAGTGGGCATCTGCCAATCAGCATTCAATCAACAACAGGCATGCCATGCGTTAGTGGAGCGGGCTGGGGTGCAGGATGATGGCCTGCCCTCGCGAGAAGTTTCAAGAGATCCTGGGAGCTTCTTTAAGGGTTGTTCTCATGTCTTACAGTACAAAGAACCCAGCTCACAATCACTACTGTCACAGTACTGTGACCATTCTCACCCGTGTGTATCCACGATTGTGATCAAGCTAGTTTGCGCACTAACACATGTCGTCGCAAGGGTCGGGGCCTTGCATCTCATCAAAACAGGTTCTTTGTGCCTTACGTTCGTGTTATTGGCTAGAACATGCCTGTTGGCTGGTAGTTCCAAGGTCACACGCCCAGAGGGTGTTTTATCCGGCTGGCAAAGCCGTGAACTTAGCACCGAAGGAAAAGGGCTACGAACGTTCATGTGTGTTGAGCGCTGATTCATTCTTGCTTCGGAACAGCCAGGAGACGCCTCCCAACACAAGATGTAATGGTTTAGCACGGCGTTGGAATGCGATACTTGCAACATTTGCTTGGTTTACTTTTGTGAGGTTCAAGGCCGCATTCGGACAATCCGAGCGGCCCAAAGAACCATGAGATGATGCCGTTTCCTTCGCACACGCGGTTTTTATGGCAAGGTCGTGTGAGTTCTCCTCGATTTTGCCAGGTGAAGCGACATTGCCAAGCAAGTCTCTTGAACCAGACGACGTCGTGCGCCCGCAGATTGTCATCACGCCACCGAGACGAGCCGTCGACGTGACCGAGCCACGTGAGAAACCTCTCCAGACGCCTCCAGTCGACGACCGCGACCGCAGTCCAGCAGGAAATCTTCAACTTCCAGGTTCTCTTCCGAAAACGGAAGTGTCCGATCCTGAGGATCCAGCCTGCCATGCCGGCCCTCAGAGCTCCTCAGTGTTTCAAGACCATGAGTGTGAACAAGATCGTCTCCAACGCAGGCCTTCGTACAGTTCGCAAAGGTCACGCAGGTCTGATGGCTCTTCCAAGGGAGACTCGGAAGTTACGGAGAAACGAAGCAGGTATAGTCAGGGCAGCAAGCGCAGAGGTTCCTTTACTGTTGCGCGGGTAAGTATGGATACTGCGAAGTCTCCTTTAGACAGAGTGCCATTTGCGGATGGAGTCGAGTGTGCGATGCAGCTCTACTTGGAAGATTCTTGCGAGGACGGATCAGGCACAGCTAGTCGTACTATCAGGATGTGGGTAGTGCTGCTTGGCCTCCTCCTACTGGTGTCTGCATTGGCATTTTGGTCCTTAATGATACCCTTTGCACCACCGGAAGCAGGATTCTGGGAGAATTGGCGATTCAACTTCGTCGCGGTTCCCTCTATGATGTATGTGTTCAGTCGCTCGGGAGTTCTCCTGCTTTTTCGCAGCATTTCGCCATCCGAACGGACTCGGATGAGGTCGAAGAGCCTGTGGCTCCCCGTGGTTGGCCCCGTCGTTTGCATTGCTATACAAACCATCGCCGGGGCTTTGGGCGTTTTTCCCCTCCCATACCTCATTCTCACGGCTGCGATCCCAGCGCAAACAGTTGCTCTCATTGTTGCCCGCCTCTCCGTGCCGCCGGATCTCTTATCTACAGAAGTTCGCAAGTGGTGGACATATGTTACCTTCTGCTTCATAGCCTATCCTTCGCAAAGCATGTTGTTCATGCTTTGGTTAGCAGTGTTCCCAGAGCTCACGGAGGTGTTGCAGGTGCTCGGCAGCTTCGCGTTGAACGGTTTGCTCGCCGTATCAGCAGTCATCATGGAGTGGATTGGTCTGTGGCTGAGGCTGCCGGTCTACCTCTTGTACGAAATCAAGGTCATGATTCTTTTCGTGTCATTTCTCTACACAGCTGCACTGCTTTCCAGCGCCAAGTCTGTGATTGTGCTTGCTCTGATGCTTGCCCAGGACGCAGCAAAGGCAGTGGCAATCTTTCTGAAGATGTGCTATCATCTGCTAGCCATCGTTGAGATTGAGCACATAGGCCAAAACGATACACATACATGTAGCACATGCAGCTCTTGCAGTTGCCACACTTTGGGATCGTTACTGGTCACCCCGTCGGAGCTGCTGGCTCTGCGTCGACGGAAGTGGTCCTTGATGCTGGACTGTCGCGATAGGCTCCGTGACATCTTCACCATCTTTCAGCTCCACACTCGAGAAAGCCTTCAAGAAGCAGACCTTGCACTGGCCGATGTCCGCCTCCTTGGCGGCTTTACCAGATGTATTGTCGTCCTTGGCTTGGTGGAGCTTTGTGAAGTGCTGGTACCGTTGCTATACATGATTTTGGCGACAATGCTGCACGTACTTGGAGGTAATCGGGAGTACATCTACCTGTTTGATGACGTGGAGCTGTGGTCAGCTTTGGTAGGGAATGGCTTTGGCTTCCTGATCGAGATCTCCGTCTTGCTACTCCTCCAAGCTGCGCTTTGTTCGCTGATTGGCTTCAATTTACTGAATTTTGTTACCCATGTCTTGAGAATGGAGCCTTTGCGTGACATTGTAGCACTTTTATGTCTTGCTTGCATGTTCCTTCTTCTCACCCCAGAGCCGCACTGACATGTTTATTTTCGGCAGTTGCCAGGATTTCAGCTACTGGACGGCAGTTCTCTCCACATGCTTGGAAGGCTGGATCGTTGTGTTGCTCTCCCATGGTGGACATGATCTGGAAGCGATCCGGGACTGGTTATCCATTTGACGACATGCGACTGCATGAAAGCAGACGGTGCGAAGTTTTGTATGCCTTCCGCTTGCGAAAGGGACTTCTGATGTTGTTGTCGCATCTGGTGCTCAGCTGCCATGTGCAAAACAGCGCTTCTGCTCCCATGTCCTTCGTACTGCTGCTGATCACTGGCCTGAACCGGGACTTTCCATGCTGTTTCTGAGGTGCCTTTTGGAAGCCGAGATCGGCTTGCAGCCTCGAGGCTGTAAGAAATGGTTGGATTTTAAATCACTGCCTGCGCCAACTTGGCCTCGAGACCTGCCGTGGCAGCTGGAGCGGTGTCGCTCAGGCCAGTCATGCAAGTGAAGAGGCAGATTCCGTTTCACGCAGCATCTGACAGCTTGACATGCAGAATCGCCAGCCAAGTCGGGACCACGAAGGCGGGTGTTTGAGTGCGGTCGACAAAACCTTGGTCTAACATGCCATCGCAATCCCTGGCAGGCCCTTGCTGGCACAGCGCAGTCGTGCTTCCGTGTCTCTGCCGATGTTCACCCGGAAGCAGTTCTCCACCAGGCCGCTCTCCAAGCTGACATGTGCCATGTTTGCGTAGCCCAAACCACATTCTTTTGCAAAGTCACAGGTATTCCGATGAGGCCTCGCCTGGGAAAGCGTTTTGCACACGATTCTGACCCATTAATCAGAACATGTTGCCGAACCTCCGGCGCAATTTTCGTTGAGCTCTGTTGGCATCGGTCGTTCCCATCACCAACCACTCAAACGGATCCGTGCAAAGCTGTGCAGACGCAGTTCTCATCGGCCACGCCAAAATCATGCTGCTGTATTGCTGCTATGTTCAAGCTGCTAGCCGGTTGTGCTCAGGCTGTGGCAGATGCTTGCAGCGCTTGCCACCTGCCGCCCTTCAAGAAGAGTAGCGGGTGAAGCTGGGTACAAGGCAGGAGGGACAGCCGCAGAGCAAAGAAGCTCATCCGGCCATGCCCGCCAACGTACCGCGAATCGGGACAGGCAGGGTAGTCTCGTAATTAATTAGATGTAATCAGTTTGTCCCAAAGCGCACAGGCGCGGTCAAGCAAGAGGACCCCACAAACCGCCTGCGGAGGTAAAAGGAGTACTGAAGCAATGCGGACAAGTGCTCACGTATAGAACCATGTTTGCAATGAATCGACCGACGAAGCATGACGAAGCGAAGCAGAGTTCGTTGCACCACACGCGGCACACATGCATATCATGCCTTTGTCTTTCATAGGGATGGCTCAGGAGTCGGGGTCCATCATTGAGATGACATTCGTGAATTCACGAATGGCTGTCGTGGAGAAAGACATGTGCCAGCAGGAAGCTTTTCATGAATAGCTCGTAGGCAGCACTGCGCAGGGCAGAGTTTTCGAGCCATGACGACGGTGCCACCATGTTGCGGTCCTGTCGCTGCTAGTGTCGTCGCTTTGGTGCTGATTGTCGCCCTTGCCTCAAGCACGTTCGTCCCCTTGCAGACTAAGCCTGCTCATTGGGAGCTGAAAGACGACGGCCTCGCGTGCAAAGATCATCGCGCCGGAAATGTGGACGTCCTTGTTGCCGGTGTGTCGCGGACTAGCACAAGCTCAATGCAGCAAGCACTGCAAGGGCTAGGGTACAACACAACACACTGGCTTGGCTATATGACACGCTACTTCGAGTTTATCTCGCATTTCTATGTCGGCAATATCAAAGTTCCCAACTTGCACAGGGTCTTTGAGGACATCCCAGAGAAAGGGGCTCTGCTCGACACGGTTGTCCCCGCGATGTTTGATGACTTGAGGCGAGCCTATCCGAAGGCCAAAGTGATCCTTACAACCAGGGAAGGGGAGTCGTGGTTTAAGAGCTACGAGAACTACGTGGCTCAGTGCTGGCTCTACCACTGGAGTCGGTACCCACTGCTCTTCTTTCTCTCCCACGTCTCTCGAGCATTCCGCCTTGGCCCGCTGCTCCGTTCCGTTCACCTGCTGGGAAGGCTTGCCTCGACAAATTTAGGGAAGCTCACGTCACCCGAGCATCTCAATAATATCATTCGTGATCTACACAGCGTTTAGTAGCATGGCGCAGGTCAGAGGTGATACACGAACGTCGAAACAGACAGCATCACACCGATGGAACATGATGGAACATGTTCCGAGTGATGCTGGCCAAGAGGACTGTGTTAGAGGAAGGCATGCAACAGTTATCAATGCAGGCCACAACAGTATCAACATTGCTGCGATATCTAGGATCCTCCGGCAAGGCGAGTTCAGGATGACTTGTCAAAACTTTGTAGATAGCTTGTTGGCTACAGTAGAATCAGTAGATCTACAAACTGCCATCGATATGCATCTGAATGCCCTGCATCAGCTACAGCATCCTCAGCCTTTGGCAGGCACTAACGATTTGGTACGAACGTGCTTGGACATGGCTTGACGGACTTTCACGGACTCACGAACCAACCATGTCCCCTCCTCGTCGTCAATGCAAAGCTCCATGCACACTTCAGCTCGGCTGAAAAAGAGTAGGCAAGCATGAATGAAGCTGTTTGTATGGCCCTCAAGTCCGGTCCTGTCACCCTGATCCCCTGACAGCCACCGAAAGCCAAGAACTCATGGTCGGCAATGCCCGAAGAAGCATTCTGTTTGCAAATGCAGGGGGCCGCGACCCTCCAACGCCCCGCTGTTTTAAGCTTCCTCGACCGACAATCAGCCCAAGAAGCCGCGCAAACAGCCCCAAACAGCCCAGACCCCAACCCTAAACCCTATAAATCCGAAAAGCTATTATAAATCCTGTCAGCCCAAAGAACTTCGACTACAAGCGTTGTAGACTAGCAGACCCTGCACGTCTACGCCCGATCAGGGATGCAAACGACACACACACACATGTGGTCGTACCCTTGGGCGTTGGGTGCTCTCAGCGAGGCCTTCGGGCTTGGACCTCGACCGGCTCCCCGAGCTCTCCGAGGTCTTCCGCTTGTCCGACATGGTGATGTACGGTTCCTGGAAGCCGTGCCTTTGAGGCTTTGAGGATTTGGCGGTTTTGCCCGCATGAGGCTTTTTCCGGTTAGGGAACGACCCTTCGTGCACTGGGTTCTCGTTCAGATTGTCAACTGTGCGGGGAGCGAGTCTCGCGAAGAAATATGAAGAAATGGTTCATGGACTGAAGTGCGTGACCCATACAGTTTGAGCAAGTTCCTACAGCAATCCTGCGAGCCGCGATGAACCGTGGTTAGCGGGGCTAGTCCCCAGTTGGGTTTCCACGAATCCCACACATCCCACGCCATGCGCAGGGCCGTGTGGGCCGAGAAGAAATGAAGGTCTGACAAACCTCCCTCTGTCCTGCGAAGAGACTGGAACCCGGTAGCTACTAATAAATCGTGTGTTTCCCAGAGCGGTTCTCGAAAGCTGCAAGGGGCTGACTCCCTGCAATGTAACCTTGCTTATTGACGCTGCTGCGTTAAATTCTTGCTTCCGAGATCTTCAACGCAGACCCTACAAGTCAAGTGGTGCACGGCTGCCATCTTATGCCTTGCCAACAAAGTTTGACCTACCTGGTATTACCTGGTCCCAGGAACTTTTGGCACGTCCGGAACCGAAAGCTGTACGAGCAGCATGTCATCTCCACCGTTCCCTCGGTAGCTGGGCGGCCTCTGATTGTTTCGACATGGCATGCCTGAGGCGAGCCAGTGTTCAGGGCTTTGGGGGGCCATGGGGACTAGAGTTCCAAAACAGAGGAGCAGCTTATGATCTTCGATGCCAGCGCCGGCGACACCATTGGGAAGATTGCTCAGTTTCTCAACGTAAGCACCGACATGAACCCGGAGCGCTACCCCAGGCTCTTTGACAAGTCGAAGCTCGCCAGCCACGGCACTCATGCCCAGATCGTGCGACACAACCTGTCGCTGGGTTGCTGTCAATGGGTTGCTGTCACAGGGTATCATGGGTTGTTACCACCGTGCATGTACAAAGACTGCTATCACCATGGCACAACATATGTCCGTGAGTGGTCCAGGTTGATGATTGTGGCAGCCGCGGCCACAAGCATCCTCCTGCTGGCGAGTTTGGTGCTCATCTTCCTAGCTGGGCAGTCGGCATGGACTCGTCGTTCCTGCAACACGCGCACCGAAAAGTGCCCTGAGAGCACTGGTAAGTTGCCCAAAATCTTCAAGACTGGAGACATCAAAGCAGCTTCGGCGGCAGTCGGCAGTGTGGAGCTTGGAGATCTGAAGCCTATGGGATTCCGGGTTTCAGAGGATTCCGCGGAGTTGTGCACACGGAGTTCATGCTAAGCGAACCACATCACTGAAGTCACAGACTCGTTCAGCAGGAATGTGTTTTGTACCAAGCGGCACGGACAATCTTGTTCTGACTAGCTCGTCTTGAGTCAGTCAGAAACAGCAATCAACACTCTAATTGGGGCAGTACATACTGAACTAGCTGACTTCACATGTGGCCACAAGACCCGAGCCGACGAACACTTATGCTGCGTTTGACACGAAGTCGTGTCGTCACAGATTCCTTTTTGTTTCTCCTTGGAAGGGATCCTCTGGTGAATGTCGAGCCAGCAGATTCGGGTTTCAAAATCCTTGCGGGGCTGTGAGGGAACTTGGTTGAATCAAATTTCCACCGTGGATCAGGGCACTCGCTGGGAAGGAAAACTGACAAGATGAACCGCATGAATCTTGTGCTGCAGAAACCTTAGCAGGCCATTGGACGTACATCAGGTCGTTTGTATGTGTTCCAATGTTTCATTCCAATGTGCAACAAGGACCCAGACTTTGAGGCGGACGGCTTACGGCGCGATTCGTCCTCCACCGCTTCGACCTGGTCTGGTTCCGACACTTCCTGAGCCTATGAAATTCCATGTGGCTGGGCGGGGTTCGAGAAAAACTTGGAGCCTTCTTTACGGGCCTGGCTTCGATATCTTCGATGTAGGCCGAACGTAGACTGATAGCGAGGTGATGCGTCCTTGTGACTAGTTTGCGTCTCCAACCCTCCACACGCTGCCTGCCGAGGCTCACCACCTCATGCGCCAGCCGTGCTGAGGTTCTGAAGCTTAGCAAGACTGTGGATGACAGGAGATTGAGTATTTTGATAGTGTAGCCTCTGCCGCTGTGGCACAGCGCGCAGAGAATACGAGAATTCAGATCTTGAAGCCTTGCAGGTTCTGGCCGTCAGCTCCGTAAGAGAGTGGCAGGCTGACTCTGCTTTTTGGCCGATGGCAATGCCTTGCAAGTTTCTCGCGTCTTTGCCCCTTGGCGCTTCGTCGATGCTTCGTTCTTCGGAGCACGAGACTGGTCCCCCCCTTGTAAAGTTTTGTAGCCGTTCGAGGAACAAAATCCGGCGGACCATGCTGAAAGTGCTTGGTGGACCAGGTGGGACTCGAGGCCAAGGTTCAAACAAGTCCGCCGCATGCCTTCTTGCAGTTGGGGCTCCCTCCCAGCTGGGCCCAGCAGTGTAACAGCCGCTCGTGAGCCGGGACGTTCCGTTTCCTATCAGAGGAGCCGCGCATCATGATACTCCGTTTTCTGGCTCAGGCAATCCACGCAAAGGCCTCGAAAGATACTAGATCTCAGGATGATGCGGACGCTTCTCACGCTGCTCCCTCCGTGGCTGGGCCTGGCAGCAGACGTTTGCGTGGATGAGTCCTGCAAGGATGAGCGGACAGCACACGAGATGCTTTTCATCCACATTCCGTACAACTTTGGATATACTGTTGGGGTGGCAGCCCTTTTCGGCCACAAGGTTACCTCGACTTGGTCGGTACCGGAGGCCTGGAGACGTTCCGAGGAGCCCCCCGTTGCGGTTTCAAGGGAGTTGTCCTGGTAAGGAAATAGATTTTGTGATTTTTGGTGCTCCCATAAAACGTGAAAGAGTGAAAGGGTTCTGGTATGTTTTGATGGCACAACCATGGTCAGAGAAACTTCTGAGGCGACGACTGCAATGTCACGCATGGTTGTTTTCAAAAAATGTAGCAGTAGCAAGGGCCGAGGAGGTCTGAATGGCCCAACTCCAGTCGTAGTGCATAGTTTGCTTTCAAAAGCCCTGTGCAAATGTTTACAAAACCTAGGCAAATCGATTGGCAAATGTGTACCAGGCTTGGCCCTGGTATGTTTTGTCCGCAATCTTGAGTGGACTTTCTGGTTTCGGGGCCAACCTAACACGTTGCAGATTGGGCTAAGATTGCCAATGTTTAAGTGGTTTAGATTGTGGCTTTCCCGACGACATGAACGTCATGACGTCATGTTTCCGATCTCAGGCTTTTCGGCGACAAGGGCGCCCAGGTGGAAGGGTCATCCGCTGTGTGGTTTCATGCCCGCCCGTCGCCGGCTGCCCGCTTACTATTTGGGTATTACGTTCAAATTGCACCTGGAGATCCCAGTTGGCTATGACCGCCTTAAGTTGCAGCTTAGGTTTTATTGAGCCTGGTACGTCTCACTTTCAGCTGCATCTCAAAGTAGGATAGACATGGATAGACATCGCAGCGTTGCCTGCTAGTTTAAACGAATGTTGATCCTTAAACCCCAACATAAGCCAGGACGTGGTGAAGCAAGCCATGGCGGAGAACCCGGAGGCGAAGCTTTGGGGAGGCGTGGCCCCAGAACTGCAACAGCTCTCGGAAGTGACCGGCTGCCCCATGTTCCCTGACCTCTCTGGCCCGTTTGGGGTTTCAAAGCTGAGGGGTGTTAATCTGTTAATCGTTTGAACGGTATAAGTGTTTCCGGCGGAAGGTTGGGTGTTGATGGCACCTTCTTCGGTGTGATGTGGATAATTAAGCTCTCACTTCTCAAAAAGACATTTGAGGTACTTCACACCACCGAAGTACTGGCCCGGAGATCTTGCCAAGTCGTACATTTCTGGGAAGAAGGTTTTTGGCATACTTCGCAATCCCTACGAGCGCCTCATCGCGATGTTCCGTGGTGGCTACTCTCAGTATGGCGGATTTCCGGCTCACTTTCATAAGTTTTGCGACGTGAACGGTGCACTCAAGTGGCTCATGCATGGTCTCATGAATGGCACGGTTGGGAAGTATGCCAGCCAATGCACCTTCATTCCTCAAGCAGAGTATTTCGAAGGTCCCTACGGCATCCAGATCGCAGTGGACAACTTATATTTTCCTGAGAGTCTCAACAGGATGCTCACCTACAATGGCCTTCAGTCAGCCTTGGTCGAGCAGAATGTCATTCTTCAAATAACTGGTTGCAACAATGTCTGGGCAGCCGACCTGGATGCAGACACCAAAGACCTGGTGCACCAATACTTTAAGGCAGATTTTGATATGCTGTGTCAGCGCTTTGGCTACTGTGACTACCGCGCCAACACGTGCTTGCCACAAGTTCCAGGCATGTGTCCGGACAAAGCCTTCGCCTGGAACGAGGTTTTGAAGCAATATGTGCCCCGATCCTAAGATGCCGGTCGCCTGGTTTTTTGTCCGCCGCCAGCATGCAACGAAACAAAGGCTTGCCCTTAAGTCGCTGAAGGGTAGGCTGACAGATCCTGGCATGTGAGCTGATCCTTAGCAGACTTAGCACGGTGCCAAAGGGCGCATGATGTTTGTCTTTTGGTGGTTGCGGCGGCGGCATATGTCTCGCAGAGCACGGTGCAGCCATAACCATGCAAAAATGTAGCCTGGTCTGCGGAGATGAGGCCAGCAGAATCATGTTCAAGCTGAGATGTCATGACAGCCCCTGCGCAAGCTGCCCATGGCTAAGCCGATGTCTAAACTCTAGCCGATGTCGGTCCAGAACATACAAGTAACATAACACGGTGATGCAGGCTAATATGGGTTTCAGCAAGAAACAGCGCAGATGTCCCAGGTTCAAGGGTTAGAAAGCAGCTCCCGCAGTCCTCAGACGTTCCACGTACTTGGATGTCGCAGCCTCGTCATGGTCGCTTCGACGTGGTGATCATCGGCTCCGGCTTCACGGGACTGGGTGTGGCCGCTGTCTTCCACAAGAAACTCGGTCCTGTCTGAGGGATTTAGATTGACTTTGCATGGTTTAAATATACCATAAGCATTTCTTTCAGCTCCGGTGCTGATAGTTACATCTCTTCACAAGTACCCAGGAAAGATCCCAGCCTGCGGATTGTGTTGGTTTCCCTTGAGGAGAAACCTGGGGGCATCTGGACTGAAGCTGCCAACACCGTTAAGCTTCACCAACAGACCTACTTCTACGCACTGCCCAACATCCTCCATGATGATGCCGAGTGCCACAAGAGCTCCGTCCACCAGGCAATGAGCTACCAGGTCAGAACATATGCTGAGAAAGTGGCGCAGACCCTTGGCTGCGTGCTGATCAAGGGCGAGGCAGTCACCCGCAGGGTTTCTGTCACGTTTCTGTCTATTCGGTCCTCGCTGAGGGGGGTTGCATAGATGAGCTGTCCATAAGTTGATGGCATAGTGACCAAGCAGCTTTGCTTGTTTTAAAGGCTTCAACAATAATCCAGCTTACATCCTTTGGGCCCTCCCAAGACCCTGGTCTGCGGAAGGTGGTGGGGGTGTCCCTGGACGGAACGCAACGAGTGGTCCAGTATCGGTCCGAGGGCGATCTCAGGAGCGTCCAAGGCGACCACGTCATCCAAGCCACGGGCTTCGACAACTACTCAGGCCCAAGACAGAGAGATAGAAAGAGAGAGAGAGAGAGAGAGAGAGAGAGAGAGAGATTCGCTGCTGCATAAGGCACCAGCGGGGGACTGTGCTCTAGAGGTATACCTCCGATGAATACTTCTGTATATTAGAATGGTAGTGGGGCCTAAGTCGGGGGAAAACCTCATGCAATGCATGTGTGTGCTGAAAATGTACGATCCTGGCAGCTGTTATCGTATACTTGATGGCTTTAGCCAATGCCAGGATCTACATTTGTCTTTCACCCCCCAATAAGCCCGATAACACATCGGGTTGGCACGATGCCCGGGGGTCCTAACCGACCCTCATGCCCGAGAGAGAGAGAGAGAGAGAGACTAGCGGGGGACAGGGTACCCAGCAACACCAGGGTGCCTTTCGCACCTTCCGACGGCAGCAGAAGCTGCAAGACTGGGACTGCAAGCTCGTGGAAGACCCCAACTGGCGCACGAACCTCAAGAAGCACTTCCAGGGGATCTTCGCAAAGACGGCGCAGGGGAGCGAAGACGGGGGATGGGAGCGCCTGTACCAGGACCTCAGGGGGAGATGCAAAAGTACGCCGTGGCGACCTTTCAGCGAGGCCGAGCTCAGAGTCACCATGACAAAATGGCAGTGGGGGACAAGCACAGGAGATGACGGTATTGCGCACGAAGCCCTCGCCTACCTCATTGAGATCCCCGAGGGGAGACAAAGAATTCTCTCGGTCCTCAACACGCGCTCTGCACGGGGAAGGTGGCACCGGGGATGGAGAAAGGCCTTACCGTCTTGCTGCCCAACGGCAACCACCCGCTCAACTGGGGGGACACACGCCCCATCACCTTGTGGAGCGCGCTGCTCACATGATCGTGCAACTCCTTCTCCACCGCGGCCGGGGGGAGCTGAACAAAGTGGGGGCAGCGCAATGGGCGAAGCCGGGCTCCCAGGCAATCGAACTAGTGCTGGCCATGAGAAGACTCACGAGGGCAGCCAGGGACTGGGGGGATAGACTCTATGTGGTCAAGCTGGACGTGGCAAAGGCCTTCGATAGCATCTCCCAGTTGTACTTGGGGTACCTGATAACAGAACATGTCGGACGGCGAGGGGGGCAACCGTGGGAGGCGATGCTGTGGCTCACCCTGATTAGAGCCAGATCCGTGACGGTGGTCTTGCAAGGGGGGAAGGTCGAGATCTCGGCTCCAGACAGCCCAGTGGTTTTCAGTGCCTTCGTGGGGGAATCGATCGACGAGGTCCTCGCAGAGATGCAAGATACCAGCCGAGCTGGGGGCAACCCCAAACTACCGCCAAGCCCGCACGGGGGGGCAGGCTTTATGGATGATACCTACCTCTGGGGTCATAACAGGCAGTGGTTGGAACGAGCGCTAGAACTCCTGGAAGCCAAGCTGCTAAAGAAGCGGCTGGTGCTCAACGCCAAGAAGACCCAGATCATCTCCAACCTGCCGGACCCGGAGCCCTTCACCATAGGGGGGAAGAACGTGGAGGTGGAGGGGCCCAAGGCAGTGATGCAAGTCCTGGGGGCACCGGTGTGTTTCGAGCAAGTCACGGCAGTCCTGCTTGGGGCCCGGCATGCACAAAGGTTCTGCCTAGCCCTGGACGTGGAGAGGCACATAGCGGACCTGGCGGGGGACGAGTGGATGGCCAGGACAGCGTGGAGGACACTGGGGGAAAGCTGGATCCGCGAACACGATCCGCCATGGGCCTCGGGGAAGCGTCCCTCGAAAATCTGGCTCCGACTCCAAGGGGGCGTCCGAAGGAGAGCGCGAGACCAGCCATTCGTGATCGGCAAAGACGGAGGGGAAGCGCATCAACACCCGAGGGGAGACCGACCCGGGCGCCTAAGGCGCGCCATCGACGCGGGGAGCACAAACCAGAAGAGAGCAGTTACCAGCGAGAGGGGGAGTTCATGAACATCATTGTCAAAGTACCATGCGCATGGCCAAGGCCACGAGAGCAAATTGGCTGGACCCTAAGGCTTAGAAGACAGAGAGCCAGCCGGGGGGTCACAACCTTAGCCTTGGTCGAGGCGGGTTGGTGGTATTGGCTTGCCCTCGCTTCTACCCTCGTGACTGAAAGAAAGAGAGAGTGGTTCTGTGGCTGGGTCCTTTTTTAGGGGGTAGCATTTCTGTTAGAAAGCCGCTCGGATTGCAGATCGAACTCCGCCTCGGCACTGGACAACAATAACATTCAGACAAAAGGTTTCCAGGGTCGTGGGAGAAGTGTCCTTGCATCCTGAGCCGGTGGGCCGGACAGTGAATGCCAGGGCCTTTGAGTTGGCCTTCCAGCATGATGTTCCCTTGTGCCATCGGGTGTCATACTTCTTCTGCATTCGGACAGCCCGTGTTTAACAGAGAAAGAGAGAGAGAATCAGACCATTCAAAATTAACGCTATCGTTTCAATTCCCAGGCTGTACTATTAGAGTAAACACAAAGGATCTATGGGCTTCCTTTACGGAATCTCTAGAGACTAGAGCTTCCTCTAAGGAATCTCTAGGGCTCCCATGCCCAACAGCTTGCGTTAAAGCCCCTAGTTTCTCAAAAGGTTGTCCCGGCTTGTGGCAGGTGTTCCACGGCTACTTGGGCTGCCTCTCGAGGTGCACTCTAGCGCCCTCAACAAGGTCACCGAAAGCCTGCGGGGGAAGCACTGTGCCGTGGTGGCAGGTGAAATCCAATGCCTTCATTCCAGAAGCGGTTGAAGTCTAACGTTTCGCAATGTCTCGAAATGTTGGACAGGGGTTTTGTATTCCCTGAACCTTTTTTTGGAGACGGCAACATCCTGCAGGTCTAGTGATCGGCAGCGGGAAGTCCACAATCGATGCTGCAAAGTTCTTGATCCAGGAAGGCAACACGGTACGGTTCATTTATCGTAGTGCCTGTGCCTATGTCCGATGGGGCTTCAACAGCCCGCTGAGCAGCATCCTGCAGTGGCTCCACCCGTTTATCCATTTCACGATGCTGGACGAGAGCGTGACACCAGAGGACTGGAAGTATGACTCTGGGTCCTCGATACAGTAAAGCGTTTGAACTGGCTTTCCAGAGTATCGCTACACGACAAATTATGCGGGCTCTTAAGCGATGTGTTATGTTAATTTCAGCCGCTCACCAGAGACGCTGCAGAACGCAGACTCAGGACTATTCGCAGGACCTCGATTCCTTGGATTGGTACATCGTAGGAGATCCCAGGACATGTCAGCAGGTGCGTGAAAAGACCCGTGGAGGCATCATCCCGCTCCGCGACTTTCTCCTGATGAATCTCCTGCTGCACGGATTCTGGGTTCTTGTTAAGGAAGTGGTTTTACATGAATTTCCAGAATACTGATACGTGGTAGAACATATGGCTGAGTTCGACCCCAGCAAGTTGCCAGGATATGGGGTCTGCGGGGATGCCAGCCAGATGGAGTTCTGCAAGGATGCCGATGGCATGGTGAGCTGCAGTGCTTTCCCCGGTGAGAAGTTTGATCAAGTGGTATCCTGCACGGGCTACAGCGGTTCAAAGAGTCTCTTTCCATACTGCCTCAGTGCAGTGACTCCAATCACTGACTTGCATGTGCACAATGCGTGGATGACAGGACAGGGAAGTTGTGTGCTCGTGGAGACTGTTGCGCAATGGTTTTCGAGCATCCCGTAGGCTTCGGACTGGCCTTGAGGGGCATCGCGTTTTTGTTAGTGCAGAACCCAGCCCTTAACTCCCTAGATCCCGGATGCGAGAGGACACCTGTTGTACCACATCATGAAAGACCCGGAAAAGGTGGCGAGCTGGAACGCCCTCGCTAGCCACAAGCACCCTTTCCCCTGGCATGGGCACTATGCCAAAGTGCGACAGTGGTGCGCTCTGCACGTCGACCAAGTCATCACTACAGCCAAGGAAGAGATCGATGTGGCCATGCGAAAGGCCTCAGGGCTGCCTCCCGAAGCCCTCAGAATCTGGGTCCTTGTCAAGGATGTAGTGTAGATGACCGTGACAAGCCATGCCTCACAAATATACACACATATGTATATACACACAATACAATACATATATATATATATATATATAAATATATATATATATATATATATATATATGCTACCCCCCCTCAAGGATCTACCGTTTTCGTGTTTTTGAGAGCCGGATGCGAAATAGTGGATATTCTGTAATGTATGCCGTTCTCTTTATAAGTTCTTCACTAAGTAAGCTTCGACTTGATCAAAGAGTTCGCAGATCCTAGATTCTGCATTTCCTTCATATACACCCCTAATTTTTCCAAACGACATACATTCGCGTACGACTTCTTCTCGGTTGCAAAAGAACGCAAGCTTGCATGCATGTTCTGTGTGTGTATAGGTTTTTGCATGCAGCAGTATGGGCTCTGAAGGTAACACGCAACAGGAGAGCAAAGATATGTCATCCCGTATAACATAATATCACGACAAGAATAGATGTGAAAACAGGACCCTATTTCTACACCTCCCATATATAAGACGCATCGGGATTATAGATAATGTCCATGAAAACGAAATCTATCGATATTTCCAGCGTGCAATACCTTTTACCGTTAGAATACATTAAGATACTTTGCAAAATTCCGCTCTCATAACCTTTATATCTTATAGAAATCCATCTGGAATATCCTGTCGAATACCTTTTACAAGACCACCCATATATGATACACTCCGCACGCCTTATATTACATATACTCTATAGGACACTCTATACAAGACACTACCTAGAATATCTTATAGCATATCCTTTAGAATACCTCCTCTATGTATCTTAAAAACCTTCATTTAGAGTACACTGATATAGAATACCTTCATGCCTTATTGACTACCCTAGAGCCTCTAGAATACCTTGTCATATACTTTCAGTCATAGCCCGCATGTCTATCGAATACCTAGAGTACCTTACAGAATACGACATAGAGTACCCTACAAAACACCTTATTATGGAACACATAGTACCCTCTATATATCGTGCGCCTCATGGAAGACCATCTGGAATATTATATAGAAGACCTTATAGAATGCCCCTATGGCCCTGTATATGACAGTCCTTGTATACAGCATATATATATATATACCCTGAACCCATGTAATACTTAGTGGCTCGAAACCAAACCTTTAAACATTTGGCCCCTTATAAGGTCGTCTTATTGCGAAAGTTTAAGCTTTTTACCCCCAAAGGTGTTTGGGAAGTCAGAATGCCTATAGATAACCTTTCAAACAAGGGATATACAGGAGGACAATCAGGACGAGCCCAAGATCTGAGAACCCCTCATAAAGAAGCAGCTTTTTTGAGTAAGGAATTTCTAGGGGTGATCCAGGAATCGAAGAGAATAATCTAGAGAATACCACAAACCTCAAAGAATTTTCGTACAGGTGACTCTAGGTAATACATTATAGAATATCCCCTATAAACCTCATATATACCTTCTGGCGTACCCTATAGCCTATACATTACGTTATAGAATACGTTCTGCAAGATAACATTTACGTTTATGCTGATGCCTTGTACAATCCCTTATACAATGCGTTATGGAGTACCCTATAGAGCGCCCAAAACATACGTTACATACTATGCCGTTTGTAGGCCTTTAGGCGATTGCACCAGTCCTGATGCAAAAAAAGGCCTCATAGAACATCATCTGCAATCCCCTACAGACTCGCTTACAGAATACCCAGTGTCTGTGATACCCGTTGAGTACCCCATATGTATATTCTATAAAAATACCCGTAGACTGCACCATAGAATGCCTTGTAGAATACTTTACAGTATAGATAACGGATTAATGAGGGAAAATCAGGAGCAGAATGCTCTGCACTATACCTGCTACGTGCCCAATGAAGAAATCAAAACAATAGTCTATATAGAATACATTACACAATACTCCCTCATTACATCTTAAAGAATTTCGCATAGATAGCCCTAGATTATAGAAACCCTATACACCTTTTATGAACCTTGTTGAATACCCTATAGCCTATACAATGCGTTACAGAATATTTTCTATAACACAAGTTTTACATTTATGCTTATGCCTTGTACCATCCTTTATACAACGCCTTATGCAGTTCCCACAACGCCTTATGGTGTTTCCTATGGAATACGTAAAAGAAATATGCAAAATTGTGCCAAAAAAACGCCTTATAGAATTCCATTTGCAATACCCCTGAGACTACGTTACAGAATACCCCCTGTGTCTGATACCCTCTGAGTACCGCATAGAAAGCCGTAAAGAAACCCCTAGAATACCCTGTAGAATACCTTTGAAATGCACCATAGAATGCCTTGTAGAATCATTTGCCCACATGGGATGAACCGCGATTGCACTCAAGCGGCCCCGATTGAACTCAATCGGGCCAGGGTGTAGTTCACCCAACCTCAAAATGGTCCATCAACTAGCCCCTCCCCTCAAAGATCTACCATTTTCGTGCTCTGGGGCTCGGAAACACACGAAAATGGTAGATCCATGGGGGGGGCTACCATATATATATATATATATATATATATATATATATATATATGCTAACCCCCCCGCAATTGACCCTCACGACCTCCGAATGTGTGTCGCCGCTTTTCGAGTCCACAGTAGGAGAAGTTCTGTTTGTGCAACATCAGCCATCTACCTTCGTAGACATTGCTATGAGAAACATCAGTGTTCCTCTAACAGCTGTTCACCTTCGTGCGTGACCTTATATACAGGGCCAATGAATACTAATGGCTAATGTTAGTACGAATACGAATGCCAAGATTTCTAGTCTTACGAATAAACGTATTCATACTCATATTGGCAATATCCTTAATGCGAGTATTGAAGTATCTTAATACCAATACTGACATTGATTTTTGTTTGTTTCCTCATACTCTTGCGGCTACTAATGCTCACAGTGATACTACTGGTAAAACTGGCTATAATACCACTACTACGAACACTAACATTAGTCGTGATAAAATCCTCCTATGGATACTAATGTTCCCACGATCCCACGAATTCGAGTAGTCATGTTCATGTTAAGCGTAGTATTTTTTACGAATCTACTATAATGTATACATACTAATGATAATACTATTGCCAATACTTTTCCTGATGACAATATTCATGTAGGTACTAATGCCCCTACGGATACTTGATACGCATAGTCTTATTAGCTACTCTCAACTACTGATATTAATATGAATACTAATGTTTCTACGAATTCGACTATCCATATTCATGTTCAGAGTAATACTAATACGAAAATTACGTAGTATACATACTCATACTAATTAGTGCTATGTTAATGCTGAGTCTAACATTATTTCTGTTATATGAAAACTCCCATGGATATTGATATGCATATTATTATCAACTGTTCTCATTACTAAAACTCATAGCTTTACAAGCTAATATTAGCACTAGTACCAAGGATAATACGAAGATGCAGCAAAAACATATTAACATGAGTGTTCGTATAAATGCCAGCGCTGGTATGGACATTAGTGTTAGTCTTAATTATGTTTAACAAAATGTTAAAGTATATTGAAGCTAATGTTCCTAAGAATAAAAAGCATTCCCTCTCAACTTATACTAACCTTGGTACAAATAATTGAAAATAGCGCTAATAGTAATGCTAATACTGATATTAGTATGAAAACTCATACTCCAATACTCATAGTAATATTGACACTACTGTGAAGATTAATGTTCCTACGAATACTCATGGTAATCTTCATAGGACTTGTAATCATATTAATACTAATACCAGTATACACACTGATGATAGTATTATTACAAATACTAATATTCAATATTTGTATGAGTACAAGTATTAATATTCCTACAGAAACTAGTGCTCATACTCTTACGGTTGTATCTACACTAGTAGTAATACTAATATGAACACTAATACTTTGGCTAATACGAATATGTATAGTTCTAGAAATACTAGTGCGAATCCCAATATAGCTAGTATCTACGTATGCATTGTTTAAGATTGATATGCAAATGCTAGTGTTAGTACAACATTGACATTGACACTTACACCAACGCTAATACTAACATTAGCAATAATATGAAACAAATACCAGCAATAAAATTGCTAATACTAACATTGCCCCAATGCCTATTAATACAAACACTAAGACAAGTTTTAAGACTGCTACTCCCAATAATAGCAAGACGAAGGTTCAAACTAAGAACAAGACTAAGTCAGGACCAATGTTAACACTATAACGAAGACTGAGACTAAGACGAAGATTAGGACAAATAATAAGATATGTTCTGTGTCCGCCTACCCAACAAGACCACTACATGCAGCAGTATGGTTTCTTGAGGGTAACGTGCAAGAGGAGAGCAGAGACACGTCATCACGCATAACATAACAGCACGAATAATGTAGACATAGATCCCTAAGTTCCTTAGAATCTCTAAATTCCCTGAATTCCAGTGTACCTGAGGCAGGCAGGTGGGGTAACTAAATAAACAAAAGAACAAAAAACAGAAAAGCAAAAACACGAACCCGATTCAGCACATAGGGCTGGATGTTTTGCGTGTGTTTGGTTTGTGTGTTTGTTAGTGTTTTTTGTTTTCGATCCTTGCAGACGCATGTTCGAATCTACTCTGTTTCAATGTTGTTATGATTCTCGCGCTCACCGTATAGGTAATGTCTCTTAATCTAGCGTGCTGTAGCTTTATAAGCCTGGCTCCACAAAAATGCATAGCGATGTATGTTAAGAGACATGTAACTAGCTGACACATGTCAATACAAGATATAGGATTCAAATAAAGAGAAGTGCGGGTCAATAGGGGGGTTACCATAAATATATATATATATATGTATACATACACACCGATGGTATGACATGGTCATACAGGAAATCGCATTGGCTCCTGCTTATGCTATTTGATTCCCTTAGCACAAGCCCAAGGAATCGGCAGCCACCGACTTTTCGCCGTCAACGCCTTGACGCGGCTTGAGCAGCTGATAGTTTCCTGTTGCAAGCTCTGCGTGACGGCTATGTGGCGCTTCACTCCGCCTTTGCTGAGTCGCGGCCTGCTGGCGCTGTGCTGGGGCCACCATGGGCTGCCATGACCCCCACGATGGCGCTTGTAAAACTTAACGGCCTTTGGGGCCTGGCTGCTGGCCATAGTTTTCCACAAAGCCGACACCCTAATCTGTAAAGACGCAGCGTCTAGAACACATGTGGAGTTTGGGCAACAGATCCCCTACTTCATGGATAGGAATTCGGATGGCAGGGCATCGAGACAGAGGCGCGGCCGTAAGATGCACTGCGTTACGTCGCCCCGACCCTGAGATCGCCAAGGTTACAGTGTCACGCCACGAAGTGTTTAGCGCTCCAGTTTCAGACGAAGCCTGGGAGCAAAAACGTATATGCTCAGCTCGTGCCGACGAATTACAGGCATTTGCACATGCAGGAGGAACATGTAGCGCTTTGCCTACCAAGCAGGTTCCACGGTCCTACATGCTATACACACCCATGCAGTTTATGGCGTAGGTTTCGCATCTAACCGTCGAATCAATGGGAAAGGGAGAGGGAGAGAGAGAGAGAGAGGGAGGAAGCGTTGTTTGCGGTTGTTACACACAAGACGTGACCAGGCTGTTAAGATCATAATTAACATACCGTCCCAACAATGAAAGGCAACAAACCCCCTGGGGACATTGTAGTTGTACTTCCTGGAAATGTGAATTGCAGTAAGTGTTCCGACTATGTACGTGGGGGACTAAGTGATGTTGCCACAAACTGGGGGACGAGTGCATGTGTCTGAAAAATCATCAAGAACCTAGCCATTCTATAGCCCAATATACTCCTTTGTTCTAGCCGGGGGATTGATGATATTCTCACGCCTCTCCAAAAACCCCATAACACATGGGGGGCCAATATGGCCGGGGGGCCTCAACAGCCCCTTACGCCCTGCGGAAGAAGAGAGGGAGGACTGCTTCTGCCTCAAACCCCGAGCAAAGCAAAGAGAGCGGTCCAGGGGTAAAACCCCTACACCATGGCCCTGACGAAAGAGAGAGAGAAAGAGGGAGAGAGAGATAGGTAACGTAGATGCAGGAAGGTCCCCGGCGCGATCGGAAGCTCTGGTGGCATATTGCGGGGTGTTCTGCCCGCCCCTAGACTGAGCAGCCAGATGTTGAGGTGGCCCTCAACTCTTCTTGCGTCTCCGACTGCTTGAGTACTGGACCCCGTAGCTCTGCGCCGGCGTGGCTCCTCCGGTGGTGGGGCTTTGCTTCCCCTGTGGCTGGTAGTTGAGGGGCCGTCGGCTGGCTGCGGCTGTGTGTGTGCACTGGTTGCAGCTGCTGTGCTGCCCCCCCCGGGTGCTCCCCCTTCCGCTGCTGCTGGCCGCCCCCCCTTGTGGCTCGAGGTGCTTGTTAAGGAGCTGAGCGAACCTTGCCATGTCTTCGGCATGCTGCTGCGGGTTGCTGACCCCCCCGCCCCTTTGCTGTCGATTGGCTTGAGTCCGCGCTTCGTGGATTGCAGCTTCCCATGCCGTCTCGTCGTCTTCCTCGGCAAGGTTGACCCACCAGCCAACCTGGCGCCACGTCTTGCCGCTAGGTTTGCGGATGCCTTTGATCTCGAAGATGGTCTGAACGGCAGCTTTGTATCTTTTGCCCCGCATCCTATGCTCCCCTCCTCCTTCGTGCTTGCGGCCGCCCCCAGTGGTGGGGTCCCCCCTTTGCCACTGCCATGGTTCCGGGGAGAGCGGGGCTGCTTGGGATGTGCTGCTGAAGGCGGGGTCTGCCGCGCACGCTGTTTGTTCTGCCTGGGTAGTGGTTTCCTCCTCCGGGCTGCCTGCGGTGGTGTCCCCTTGCAGCGGTGCTTGTTGAGTGTGGCTCGCCGCCGGCTGTGGCTCCTCTTCTGGCGGGCTTTGGGCACTCGCCGCTGCGGCTGGGTTGTTGCCGTCCTTGTGTGCTGCCGGGCCGTCGCTGTGGCTGCGTGGTTGTGATGCAGAGGCGGTGCTGGGCAGCGGCGGCGCGGTTGTGGGCTGCTGTGGTCGCGGAGGTGGCTGCTGCGGCTGGGCGTCTCGGCGACGCCAACGTGGCTTGCATGGGATGTTGAGGGGCACATCCTGCACTGTGCTCGGCGGCGGCTGTGGCTGAGGCTGGGCTGCTGCACAGGGTTGGTCTGGGTCGCATGCTTCGCTGGCTTGGTCCCCCATGTCTGGGTCGCTTGCATCTGGTGTCGCCGTGCTGGGCCAGCTGCTAGGTTCACTGTGAGTGCAGGTAGGGCTGCTGTCTGCTGAGGTGGATGGCTCCGGGCTCGCGGGGTCCCCCCAACTTGGGTCTAGCTGTGGTGCCCGAGTGGGTCGGGGTGCTCTCCCTTGCCACCGGTGGCTCAGTGCCGGTGTAGGTCCGCGGCCGTTGCTGCTGAGGTTGTGCCGGCATGCTCGTGGTGGGTTGAATGGGCTGCTGCTGCTCGTGTGGGGGTCCCTGCTGCAGTGTGTAGCCACATTGGGTGGTGGCGCTAGGCCAGTGAGTGCTCGGAGGGACCCCTGCGTGTTGGTAGCCCATGGCGAGGAGGACCCTCGGCGAGACCACGTAACCCGGGAGATTCGGGTACGGTATACCCGCTGCTTGTAGGATGCTTTGGTAGTGGAGGTGTAGCGCCAGGAGCTGGTCGGCCGCGTGTTGAGTGTCGGCTGGAGGCGCGGCGGGCAGTGTGGCTGCTGGGTCGGTGTCAGGGGCGTATGGTGCTGGGTAGTACCCGTGGGCGCTGGATGCTCGTTGGGCGGGGGTGTAGTAGACAGTGGTTGCTGCCTCCCCGGTCGGTCCATCGGTTGGGGGGGACACCACCGGCCCTGGTTGTGCTGCTTGGTGTGTGTTGGCGACCGGCTGTGTGTTCGAGTGGGCGGTCTGCCATAGTGGGCCTGTGGTCCATGCTGCTGCCGTGGGTGTGGCTGGCTGCTGCGGTTGCTCCTGCTGAGGCTGGTGTGGCTGTGCCTGTGGTGTGTGTTCCCCGGTCCGCGGTGCAGCTGGGTTGTCTGACCCTGCGGCGGGAGGAGGCACCTCTCCCCCTTGCTGTGGCTGCTCTGTGCTGGGGCTGTCGCCATCAATGATCGGCATGGGCTCGTCTGGCCCCACTGCCGCTTCCGCTGTGCCCGGAGTTGTCGCTTGCCCCATTCGCACACTGCGACCACCCCCTCTTGGAGGGGACTTCTCCGAGGCATGGGCCGCAACCCACAGCATCAAGCCACAGGTCACCATGATCATGGTTCGAATTGGCTTCATGGCTGCCCCTGGGCTGCCAGAAAAGTCGCCAACTAACTGCTGTGAGCAGGCGGTGGCTGTCGAGTGGGCTGCGGTGTCTTGACCCTTTCGCCTACTGCGCACTGATTCGCTGAGCTACCGACAACTCATGTGCTGCCAGCTGCATGTGCGCATGCTGCAAGACTGAAGGTTGCTTACAAGTGCCAGTGAAACGTGAAACATGCTGTACTCTCTCTTCTGTCTGTTTTTTGCTTCTCCTTGGTGTCGCAGGTGACGTGGTGCTGTGGTAGGTGAGGTGGGCCCCCGTCGTGAGGGCATGAGCTGCATACTGTCCCCCCTAGGCTGTCAGCTGGTGCTTCATTGGCTGGGAGGACCTCTGTGCTGGCCCCCGGTTGGGTGCTATGTTGTCTAGGCTGCCTTGCTTGCCTGAGGCCCAGGGCACGTCAAAGCGTGCCACAAAGTCTTGTGTGAGCCCGTTCCACAGTGCTCTGTCCTGCGCGGTGCACATCCAGGCCAGGCCTCCCACAGCTACGATCTGCCGCTCTGGGTCTGAGTCCGGGTTGAACCTGTGCTTGTGGCGCGTGCCCCCCCAACTGGGCGGAATGCGCTGTTCCCGCTTCCACCATTGCAGGTTTTTCCAGCCGAGCATAGCTGCCCCCCCTTCGGTGGATCTGGCCATGTGCCCGTAGAGCCCCCAAGTCTGTGCTAGCAAGAACGTGCTCCGCCGGGGCTCCCCCGACTGGTGTAACTGGACGCGTGCCCGCCGAAGGGTGCGGTTGTTCCAGTCTGCCCATGCCTCCCCGGGGTGCCGGGCTTCCCGCATCATGGCGCGGATGTGCCGAAGTTGTGTGCTGTTGACTGCTTTGTGGAGGGTTTCCACGATAGGCCAGGATTGGCTCGCCCACAATGCTGCATTCCGCACCATGGTGGTGTGCATCTTGATACGCCCCCTGAGGGGGGTGGGCGCGCAGAGGAGCTTGCTGTGCTTGTGGAACGCCTTGCGGGCGCGCTCGTTCATGGCTGCGGTGATGGCTGCCACGGGTTCGGCGAAGGTGAGGGGGGATCCGAGCGCCGTGATGACCGTGCCGTATGGTTGGCATTCCACCTCCTGCCCCCCTATTCGAAAAGATCCTCCCCCTTCTGGCTCGCTCTGAGTATGGCGGTTTTCCCGGGGTGGATGGAGAGGCCGTCCTTGGCAAGTCGGACCTCAAGCTCGGTGAGTGTGCGCTGCAGGTGGTCATGGTCATGACTCCATAGATAGGTGTCATCCATGAACACCCCCCCTGATCCACTGGTGGTAGGTGTCCGGCTGTGCGCGTGAGGACCTCGTCCAGCGCTGTGGCAATGATGGCAGCAAGGGCTATCGGGGGACCCCTGGCGCACCCCGTTGCTTTGTGGAATGCTTGTTATGGTGTCGCCGATGGCAACCCGCAGCTCGCGGGCTTCGAGTAGGCCGAGCCAAGCGCGTGCTTCCCAGGGGGAGCCCCCCATGGCCGTCCCCCCGCTGGAGAGTAGTTCGCCACGAGATGTCCCATGGACTCCGAATGCCTTACGGATGTCAAGGCGGATCAGCCAGACCGGAACGCCCCAGTCGCGGGACATGCGCATGACACGGCGCAGGACCACGAGCAGCTCTGTGCCTTGGCGCCCCCTCCTCGCCCATTGGTAGGTGTCCCCCTCCTGGAGCTGGCGACCTCCCCGGAGAAGGAGAAGTTGGCCAAACCATTTGAGCACGGCCGAGGATAGTGTAATGGGGCGCGTGTCTCCCCAATTGTCTGGCACCCCCACTGTTTTTGGGAGCAGCACCGTGACCCCCTCCAGGGCCGCCGGGGAAGCACCCCGCGGAAAAGGAAGTCGTTGAGGAGGAACTGGAGACGGCCGGCCCACCGTGGGTACTGCAGCATCGCCTGCAATGCCTCCAGTGCCACCCCGTCCGGGCCTGTGGATTTCCCCCAAACCCACGTGGCTGTCGCCAGCTGGAGTTCCCCTTCAGTGAAGGGTTGCCATGGGGCATGCTTGCAGGCCCTCGTCAGAGCCTCCCTGAGAACGTGGAGCTTGGCTGCCGTGTGGCTTTGCGGCACCTTGTGGAAGATGCTGCGGAAGTGCTGAGTGAGGTGCTTTTGCCAGTGAACATCGTCAAGGAGGCGGTGCTCCCAGCCTTGTCGGCTGCTGTGGTGGTCAAGGGATCGCTTGGCTCGCCAGCTGGCCCGGTCAATGTTTGCTTGCTGCCATGCCCTCTGTTCCTGCTTGCGTGCTCTGCTCACTGCTTTCCAGGCTGTGCGGGCTGCTTGTCCCCCCTGGGGGAGTCGGTGCACTGCTCGGCGCTGGGCCTGGAGTTGCTTGCTTTCGCGGAACCTGTCGAAACCCCCCCCTGGCACTGTGATGTCTCGGGCTGCCTGTGCAAGGTCTGCCTGTGGTCGTCCCCGCGGGCGGGTGGCTGGGCGGCCAGTCGTTCCTGATAGTCGCCTGCAAGGCGGCGGGGCCCCCACCTTTGCTGCTGCATGGGCTGGGCGGGGCGCTCCGAGGCATGTGCCCAAACCGCATCGTGGTCGGAGGCAGCCTGGTGCCTGCAGGTGTGGACCCCCCCTGCTTCCGCGGCGTGTCCCCTTTGCATCAAGTAATCCAGCCGTCGCGGTGTAGGGGTAGAAGGTGGGCTGAAGCAGGGCCTGCGGCGGGAAGCGGGCGCCAAGGGGGGTCACCCACATGACCCTGAGCATCCCATATTGATTACAATCAATCAATTTCGCAAACAGATATTGATTTTTTGCGCAGCGTCAAAAATCAATATACCGAAAACACTGCATATTGATTAGCATATTGATTATCATATTGATTAGCATATTGATTAGCATATTGATTAGCATAATGATTAGCATATTGATTAGCATATTGATTAGCATACTGACTAACATATTGCTATATATGTTGTTTTGCAAACTAATTTATATAGCTAATATGCATAAAAATACATATGAGTATATATGAAAATATGTATATATGTGTGTGTAAGGCCTTGGGTATAGAAGACTGTAATGTAGAGGTGTGGGGTATAAAGGTGCAGGGGTAAGGGGCTTTGAGGGGGTTAGAGGCAGAAGGATTTAGGGCTATAGTGGAGGTTCACAAACATCGGGGTTTAGGGCTAGGGGGTTTAGGGGTAAGGGGCTATAGGGTATGGGATCGTAGGACTTTCGTGGGCAGATGGCTTTAGAAAGTCTAGCAGAAAGCGAGGTAGAATGAGAGAAAGAGAGAACAAACGAAACGGAAGGATAGGGAACGAAGAGAGAAGAGAGAAGCGACGAAAGAAAGAGATACAGACAGAGAGGCAGAGAGAGATAGATAGAGAGACAGATCAAGAACAACATAGAGAAGGCGAGGATAAAGTGGCAGGAAAGAGAAACCTAGGACAAACCAAAGAAATAGAAAAAAAGAGAGAGAGCGAGAGAAGGAGAGGAGCGAAACAGAGACAAAAGGGAGAGAACGAGAGAAGGACACAAGGAGAGAAAGAACAAGAGAGATAACGAGAGAGAGAGAGAGAGAGAAAGAGAGAGAGAGAGAGAGTTATAACAAATAAGTTCCAAAATCACAAATCGCAAGTTGTGTAAGAACTCAGATCCCAAAATCACAGATCGCAAGGGGTGTCCCCCTAAGGTCTTGTGAAAACTCAGATCAGAAAACCACAGAGCGCAAGGGGTGTCCCCCTAATCCCTGCGAGCCGCGACCGAGCAGAAAGCCTGTAAAACAACGGCCAGGGATCCCACACATCTGCGGGCAAAATCTGGCGGAAGTGATCCGCCACCGAGCAAAAAGCCTGTAAATACCGCATTAAACAAAGGGCCAGGGATTTCACACATCTGTTGGCAAAATCTGGCGGAAGTGAGCAGTCGGTACTTCCGCCAGATTTTGCCAACAGATGTGCGAAATCCCTGGCCCTTTGTTTAAT